GGGGGGGGGGGGGGGTCTGGCCCGGCTCAACAAGGTGGGTTTTTTTGCCGGCCAGTTCCCCATGGATGTAGCTCGGCTCCCCAGGCTCCAGCTGGCCCTTTGCTCTCCTGAGGCTCTAACCAAAGCAGAGCTGAGCCTCTGCACGGGGAAGAGGGCAATAAATGCCCAGACAAGCACCGTGGGAATGGTAAGGCAGGCAGAGAGGTGCCCCAGTCCCTCCTCCTCCTCCCCAGGGCCTTCCTCACCACCTCCTCCTCCCTCAGACCACCCTTCACGGCAATGCTCACACAGGTTTCGCACGCTGCGTGCTGCTGGGCTGGCAGCAGCCTGGGACCCTGTAACCTTGAGCTCGCACCTTGGGGAGGCATCACTCTTCACACTTACAGCAGTTTAATTAACAGCGAGCTCTCAGCCCTCTGTCCCCACTTAAACCCGCTGGAACTGGCCAAAAATTACAGGGAGGGCACGGGATGACCGGCTGGGCAGATAACGCAGTTAAGTCTTGCTTTCCCAGCGACCTAAAACGAGAGGTGAGGTGCCATGATTTGGAGCATCGCGCTTTCCAAAAAGACTTCCCCGGGAGCTATGGGTTCAAAGTGATGTTTAGAGGGGGAGGTGGGGCAAAACCCGCTCCCAGGGATTTGCTGGCTGATGCTTTTGGCTGAGGAACCGCAGCACCTGCAGCCGATTCTGGGTGAGATTTGGGCTTGGCTGCTTCCCCAGCTGTGACCATGCCACGGTCCGGCGTTTGTAAACAGCCCTGAGGTCCTCGGCAAGGTGTCATGGGAGGAAATAGCTGGATGCTGGGGAGCGCAGCGATGCTGACCTGCCCCTCACCCTTCCCAGTGACTAACCCGCGCCCAATTTCCGCACAGGAAGGCACGAGACGTGGTGGGAGGATGTGAGAGCAGCTGTGGCACTGCTCCCGGCAGGTGCCGCGGGGCGATGGGGCTGCTTTGGGCTCTGTCCTCACTGCGCTACATCCGTCCGTGGCCCCGTGCCGCAGGGATTCCCCTCACCCTGCCTGCCTGCGCTTTAAATAGGAGTTGAATGCCCGGCTGGGCTCCGCTGGCCATGGCTGTGATGTGGGCTGGAGAAAGGGGCTGAGAGAGGCTTCACGGCGAGCTGTCAAAGCCAGCGATGCGCTTGGGCATGAGAAGGGTTAGGGCAGGTGTGCCCATAGGGTGGATGTCCGGGACAGGGCAATGAGGGGACTGCAGCCAGGTTTTTCTCCAATAGGGAATGGGACCAGTACAAACGCAGCCTCCGTGATGGCAGGGGACACCCAGGCAGAGCTTTTCCATCATAGCGCTGGCCTATAGGGACTTCACATGAGCCCGTCCCGATGCTGTGGCACTCTTGGCAGATGCCCGCTTCGCGTCACAGCCAGCCCAGTGCCCACCACCAGCCCTGCGTGGGTCCCTTTGCTCTCCGCAGCCGCGGGCTGATTCGACCCCATCCCGCACGGACACCACTTGCTTGCCTGCGGATGCGATGTCTAATGAGGAAGTGGGGTTGCTTCCGTCACCACTCAGTGCTGATAAACAGGGGCTATCTTAATTATGAGAACCTTAATGAGCTCCCTTGACCCAACCGGCAGCCCGAAGGGTGCTCGGCAGCCAGGGCTCCCGCGCCTTGGGCAGGTGTCTGCCCGTCAGGTTTGTCCTGATCGGCTCCATTCCCGCCTGCCCGACACCACGGGGGCCACGCGTGTGGGAGGGCAGCACGGGGACATGGCGCGGGGATGCGGCATGGAGCTGGCGTGCCGGTGGGGAAAGCCGGTGGCGAATCCCCCCACCTCCTTTCTCATTGCAAAGGGGGCTCACCCAGGGCATGGGGTGTCCTGTCCAGCTCTGACCACGGAGGCCACCAGGTTTCCTTCAAGAGCAAACACTCCTCAAACTCCTATCCCGGGAGGGCTCACGGGGTACCCCAGGCCCCACAGAAGTCATTTGAGGGAGAAGGTTCGTATGGGTCTCCTCCCCAGAGGAGACCACGAAGATGATCAGAGCGCTGGAGCACCTCTGCTGTGAGGAGAGGCTGAGAGAGTCGGGGTTGTTCAGCCTGGAGAAGAGAAGGCGCCGGGGAGACCTTAGAGCCCCTTCCAGTAACTAAAGGGGCTACAGGAGAGCTGGGGAGGGACACTTGATCAGGGAGTGCAGCAACAGGACAAGGGTTAATGGTTTTAAACTGAACGAGGGTAGATTTAGATTAGATATTAGTAAGAAATGATTTACTGGGAGGGTGGTGAGCCCCTGGCGCAGGTTGCCCCAAGAAGCTGTGGCTGCCCCATCCCTGGAGGTGTTCAAGGCCAGGTTGGACGGGGCTTGGAGCAACCTGGGCTGGTGGGAGGTGTCCCTATCCAGGGCAGGGGGGTTGGAACTGGATAATCTTCAAGGTCCCTTCCAACCCAAACCATTCTGTGATTCTATGTCCGGAGCACCATGCCCTGGGCTCGCTGGAGAAGGCGATGGCTGCTCTGTGTTTGGGGAAACTGAAGCAGAAGCAGCAGATAAGGGTTAAACATGGCAATTAAACACCCCCTCACCTCACTCCTGCCCCGAGTCTCTTCTTGCTCCTGCCCCTATCTGCTAGAGGAGCTGGTCCTCCCCAGGGAGGTTGTCCTGGAGGAAGAAAGCAGAGAGACTGGGGGCTCCCAAGCCCTGCTGTAACCCTTCGACCCCCCGGCTGATGCATCCCAGCTCAGCGCAGACCTGGGGCTCTCTGTGCCAGGGCAGGCCCAGATTTCAGGTTCCTGCTGCCTACCCAGCAGCGGCAGACAGCCCCAGAGGAGGCGAGCAGAGGACACGTCTCTGCTGCAGGATGAACTGCAGCGTTTCGCTTCGAGGCACGCAGCTCCTCCAGATCCCTGCCTGCTCTTCCACGTCTGCTGGCAGCCACCCCGGGGACGGGAACGGGAAGGGGATGGATGCGTTCATCCCAGATCCGTCTCTTTTAGCATCATTCCCACTGCTGAAGGTACATGTCTCAAGGTGGAGCCAGAAATAGCGCAGCTCTGCGCTGCATCGGGGCTGGCAGGGCTGCAGGGTTTGGCAGGGGGACAGGCACCTGCTGCAGCAGTGGGAACTTTCCAGCCGGCGC